ACACAGTGTCTGTGAGTTAAAATGGCCGCCATCCATTGTTCTCACCATGTGCTTCTGATACAGGAAATGGTGGCCACCCAGTAACTCCACAGTATGTCCCCAGATGGTTCTTAAAGGGCCAGCAGCAGCACAACACAAATCCATTATGCCCAAATCATGTCTTTAAAGGGCAATACATCCCAGGGGCCATAGTCACATGGCAGTAGGCTGGCAACCAGGCTTCTCCAGTGCATAGTGGCGAGGTTGGTTCCGCCACACTCTCCATCTCACAAGTCCATCTGCAGACAGGGACGCTGCTGGACCCTTCACTGCCACTTCGACTACTTCGGCACTTCAGCTGCATCCGAAGTGCCAATTTTAAAGCTGCAGAACTGCTCCAATACAATTTAAAGGAGCAGCAAGTCTTTTAAAATCCAATCTGCTAAAATAGTCTTTAACAGGCAATATCTTCCAGGGGCCATAGTCTTAAAGGGGCATTGTTCCCAAAAGTCACAGTATGTCCCCAGATAGTTCTTAAAGGGCCAGCAGCAGCATAATAAAATACAATATGCCCAAATACTGTATTTAAAGGGCCAAATCTCCCAGGGTCCATAGTCAGCAGGCGGGAGGCAGGTAAACAGGCTTCTCCAATGCCCAGTGTCGAGGTTGGTTTCGCCACAGTGTCTATTTAAGTGATTGGTTATAGCCACGCCTCCAAAACTTAAGGGAGCATCGAGAATAAAGTGGCCGAGTGTCATTTATGTCATGATGTGCGAGTGCCCCATAATAAAAAGAGGCAGAAGGGCAGGAAAACGAGGCTGAGGGAAAGAGGCATTCGCAGGACCAAATTGGCGTATGTCGTGAGGTAAGTAAAGCTACAAGCCTCCTGACATTAGTGTCCTTTGCCAATCACAATGTTCTCGGCCACCAATCTCATGTTTTTGCTAAATTATTTTCCATGAGGGTGCAGAAAAAGAGAAAAGAAAAAAGAGTAGACCAAACAGACTGGAATTTCATGTTAGATACCTTTCACCACTTTGAGTTCAGCAAGAAGATATGCTCATGGGTTTGCAAATTATAGATGAATCAAGAGTCCGGAGAACAGCTAGAGTCTGAGTCAATGGAGAATTCTCACATTCAGTGTTGATTTGGCCCACCCCCAGCATGACAATTGTTAAAACCCCTTTGGTCACTTACCCGATTCCAGCGATGTCTGTCAGTGCTGGGTCTGGAGGGGGGCCTAATGCACATGCAATGCGAGAGCTGCAAATGCATTAGGCCTCCTAATAGGAAAGCATTGCTTCAAGGCTTTCTTATGGGAATTTCACTAACGCTGGATGTCCTCATGCAGAGCGTGGAGAGGTCCAGCATCATTTATGGGACCTAGAGTCTATTAGCACCCGGGAAGTGCCTCTAGTGGTTGCCTGGTGGTAATCATTGCAATTTCTCTAAAACTGCAATGATTTATATTGCAGGACTACATGAGACAGCGACAGTGCACCCAGACCACTTTAATGAAATGAAGTAGTCTGGGTGACAACAGGGTCACTTTAAGTGTTAACAGATCCCATTTTTGGGAGGGTCCACAATCAACATGTTACATAGTTACATAGTAACATAGCTGAAAAGAGACTTGCGTCAATCAAGTTCAGCCTTCCTCACATTTGTTTTTTGCTGTGATCCAAAAGAAGGCAAAATAAAACCAGTTTAAAGCACAATTTTGCAACAAGCTAGGAAAAAAATTCCTTCTTAACCCCAGAATGGCAGTCAGATTTATCCTTGGATCAAGCAGTTATTACCCTACATTGAAAGATTATATTCTTGAATATTCTGTTTTTGCAAGTATGCATCTAGTAGCTGTTTGAACATCTGTATGGACTCTGATAAAATCAATTCTTCAGGTAGAGAATTCCACATCCTGATTGTTCTTACAGTAAAAAATACTTTCCTTTGCCTTAGACGAAATCTTCATTCTTCCAGTCTAAACGCATGGCCTCGTGTCCTATGTAAAGTCCTGTTTTGTGAATAGATTTCCACACAATGGTTTGTATTGGCCCCGAATATATTTGTATAATGTTATCATATCCCCTCTCAGGCGACATTTTTCTAAACTAAATAGGTTTAAATTTGTTAACCTTTCTTCATAGCTGATATGTTCCATTCCTTTTATTAATTTTGTAGCCTGCCTCTGCACTTTTTCTAGTGCCATAATATCCTTCTTTAGAACAGGTGCCCAAAATTGCACAGCACATTCAATATGGTGTCTTACCAGTGATTTATAAAGAGGCAAAATGATATTCTCGTCCCGAGAATGAATGCCCTTCTTCATGCATGACAATACCTTACTGGCCTTGGCCACTGCTGATTGACATTGCACATTGTTGCATAGTTTATTGTCTATAACAATTCCCAAGTCCTTTTCGTGTGTTGTTATCCCTAACTCGCTTCCATTAAGTGTGTACGTTGCTTGTGTATTCTTTACGCCGAAGTGCATAACTTTGCATTTTTCAACATTAAATTTTATCTGCCATTTGAGTGCCCAGTCCCCCAATCTATCTAAATCCCTCTGCAGCAAAGTAATATCTTGCTCACATTGTATTATTTTACAAAGTTTTGTGTCATCTGCAAACACTGAAACATGACTTTCAATGCTGTCTTCAAGATAATATATAAACATGTTAAATAGAAGGGATCCCAGAACAGACCCCTGAGGGACACCACTTGCCACCTTTGTCCAGCTTGAAAATTTACCATTAATGACAACTCTTTGTACTCTGTTTTTAAGCCAATGTTCTACCCAAGAACAAGCATTTTCATGTAGAGTTTGAACACTAATCTATTGTGTGGAACTGTATCAAATGCCTTGGCAAAATCCAAGTAGATCACATCCACGGCAACACCCTGATCTATACTTCTACTTACTTCTTTGTAGAACGCAATCGAGTTAGTTTGACATGACCTGTGCTTCATAAAACCGTGCTGATTTTTGCTGATAACCATGTTCTTCTCAAGGAATTCTTGAATATTATCCCTTAATAACCTTTCAAATATTTTACCAGCCACAGAAGTTAAGCTCACAGGTCTATAATTTCCAGGCAAGGATTTTGAACCCTTTTTGAATATAGGAACCACATCTGCCTTCCTCCAATCCTCCGGAACACTTCCTGAAAGAAAATAATCTTGAAAGATTAAAAACAGAGGTTCACTTATTTCTGCACTTAGTTCCTTAAGTACACGTGGATGGATACCGTCAGGCCCTGGAGCTTTGTTTATATTAACTTTCTTTAGTTGCTGCAGCACCTTGTCTTGAGTTAACCAATTACAATTATTCTGCAAGTTTTTAGTAACAATCATTTGCACATCTATTGCCATGGGTTCCTCCTTAATATATACGGAGGAGAAATAGTTATTTAAAATTCCTGCCTTTTCCTGGTCTTCATAAACTAACACCCCCGTTTCAGTTTTTAGTGTACCTACACTTTCATTTTTGTAATCTAACTGACACTTTCAACATGTAATCTAACTGACACTATAGCTCTTACCAATATGCTTATCTATTCAGTAATAACTGGTGATTACCATCCCTTAGGGTATTCTAAAGATATTCTCTGATGACTTCAATTTATATATTGTCATTCGTGGGACGCATATCTGCACCATTTACAGGTGTTCTTTTAGAACAACATGTATTCCTCTAGGGCAACGGTTCCCAAACTGTGCTCCAGGGCGCTGCGATGTGCACACAGGGGTGCGGTGGAATGTTTCCCTGGTGCTATGATTATAGCACCGGGAAACTTTACTGCTCAACAGGGACCCGGTCGTGTGCCGCGGTCCTTTAAGACCGCAACCAGGCCCCTGTAATGTCGGCCAGCTGGGAGGAAGTGACAGCACAACATTCAAGCACACTCCTGCAATTTAACCAAATATTCCATACAAACACGCCCCTGCATTCAAACTAAAAAAAAATATATACAAACACACCCATTCACTCAAACACAGATACAATACACACAAATGTACATCCACATTTAAAAGTGAACATTACATTCAGACACACCCCTGCAATCAAAAGCAAACATTACATAAAAACACACCCCATCGAAAGGGGGAGAACGAACGGACATAACTCTCTCAATATCAGAGAACACCCAACCACAGACCAGACCAAACACCCTTAATGACGCCAACCAGACCCAATGTATAACGCATGTATCAAGTTAACTTATGTTCAATTGAATGTTACTCTTTGATGTTACAACCTTGTTTCGACCTAACATTCTTCCTTTCTGTACGAATGTTTAACTGAAAAACCAATAAATAAAGAATCTTTAAAAAAAAAACACACCCCAGTATTAAAACACAATAATTGTATACAAGCACCCCTTCAAACACTGTACATTACACTATAGCGCCAGTAAATGCCGCAGTGCTGTACAGATATACAACCTAGAAATTTTGACTTGAGATGCCTTGGGAAAAATACTGAAATAATAATGGCGCCTTGAACCTAAAAAGTTTGGGAAACCTGTATGTAACGGATCACCTGGCACCCCGATTGGGTACCTCCGTTGAAGGATGCTCCTAGTGCTTCCTGAAGGCTCCAAGCACTCCAGCCGACACCATAACCACTGTAGACTCCTCCAGAGAGCAAGACAGGAACAAGCTCTTACAAGAGCTTAGTAGTGATATAGCAAGGAAGTATGACTAGCATAGCAATCCCTTGTGGCAGATTCCCCCAGTAACGAGACGACACTTCGTTTTGGGGGTCAAGCAGAACTGACTGTACTGGCACATACAGCGTCTTTTATTCACAATCCACAAACATAGTACTGCCCACAGGGTTTTGAAATACAACCAATCAATCCGTACAATACACACAGACACTCCCCTCTGCCTGTGATATGATTACTGAACATAATGGTTAATATGATTATCACAGGCAGAGAAATACAGTATTAAAAAAACATATCACAGGGACCCCAAAACATGCAATAACCCCATAAAAATATGAGTATATCCTCGGAACCGGGGGATCTGGGTGAACCACATATCCAAAATTCACCCAGATCCGTTCAGTAGTTTGGAAGATACAGTTTAATGCAGATTCCGCAGAACATATACAGGCTATATGAAAAATAATTACTGTATAATGTGTCCCCTGTTATATAGTTTAAAACTACTGCACGATGTCTTTGTGCACCAAATACCGGTGAGATGGCACCATGTAGAAAAGTCCAAACAGTGTCTGTGAATTAAAATGGCCGCCATCCATTGTTCTTACCATGTGCTTCATCCATTGTTCTCACCATGTGCCTCTGATACATGCAATGGTGGCCACCCAGTAACTCCACAGTATGTCCCCAGATGGTTCTTAAAGGGCCAGCAGCAGCATAATAAAAATCTATTATGCCCAAATCAGTTCCTAGACGGGCAATACATCTCAGGACCATAGTCGCAGGGCAGGAGGCTGGCAAACAGTCTTCTCCAATGCCCAGTGGCGAGGCTGGTTCCGCCACACTGTAATAAATGGATTACCTTTTGGTAACCACAAACAGCATAGTCGCTATCCAACTTCTGCGAATTTAGGTGAAATACTGGAAAACACAGAAAACTGTGTAACAGTCGGCCTTCAACTCTCCAAGAACAGGAAGAGTCCCAAAGTCTTGCTGTACCTAGGTTATGAATTATTCTTCCATATGGAGCTGCTCTTGCTTTGACCCTCCTAGCTGTTATTCCTGAAGGTGAACTTTCTTGATTTCTCCTGCCGCTTTTGGCCAGTGCATGTATCAAGGGGCTGCAAGACCCAATTGTGTTCGTGTCGCTTCCATCGCTTCCATCTTGTTCTCTTCATTTATATGTACTCTGCAAATTGCTCTTCTGTGGGATTCCTTTGTCTGATGGATTGTGGGTAAATTTGATTTGCAACTGAAATGTTACTTTGTTTAAAGGGACACTATAAGCACCAAAACAACTTTAGCTTAATGGTGTGGTTTGGGTGTATAGATCGTGCCCCTGCTTGCAGCCCTAGTCACATCTTCTCTGCATGTGTCCTACACATTTCCTGTAAAGAGTTATCTAATGTTTAAAATTACTTTATTGCACAGTCTGTTTAATTTAAAATTTCGTATCTCCTGCTGTGTTCATAGCATATAAATTCTGGGAATTCCTCATGAGCCTCCGATGGTTAAAGTTGAATTTACAAGGCAGGAGATAAAAACTTCAATTAAATACAACTTAAAGTAAATACAATGTGCTTTCACATCTGATTGAAAATTAAACAATTTTTTACATATAGGCTGTGTGAGTCACAGCCAGGGGAGATTTGGCTAGGGCCGCATAAACAAAAACAAAAGTTATTTAACTTCTAAATGGCAGATATTTGAGCAGTGCGACTGCAGGGGCATGATCTATACACCAACATAGCGTCATAAAAGGGACACTCCAGGCACCTAGACCACTTCTAACCATTGGAGAGGTCTGGGTGCCAACTCCCATCACCCTTAACCCTGCAAGTGTAATTATTGCAGTTTTTATAAACTGCAATAATTACCTTGCAGGGTTAAGTTCTCCTCTAGTGGCTGTCTACCAGACAGCCACTAGAGGGACTTCCGGGTTCTTAAAACACAAAAAGTGTTTTTAAACAACGCTGGACATCCTCACGCTATGCATGAGAACCTCCAGCGTCACAGGAATCCCTATAGGTAAGCATTAAATAATGATTTCCTATGGGGAGGTCTAATGCACGCGCGCCCATTGCGGCAAGGATGGAGCATGGGCGGAGCCTGACCCAGCACTGAGGGACATCGGCGCTGGGAGGGAGGGGGCACTGCAGGATTCTGCAGTGCCAGGAAAACGGATTTGTTTCCCTGGCACTGGAGAGTCCCTTTAAGCTAAAGTTGTTTTGAAGCTTAGAGTATCCCTTCAAAAGGGGCACTCCACTTACCACATTGGGGGCAGGGGGGGGGAATAAATCACTATTTAGTAGATATACCCACAATGAATACCTGCATGAATTTTCATGCATGTATTAATTTGGGGGTATATCTTAAAAGAGCTTGGAAAGGCTGCAGATCTTATGAACTGCAACTTGAGCAAGCCCACCCCTTTTTTCCCGGAAGAGACTTACAGTTTCTTCACAGGAAAATAACCAATCAGAGGCTTCTCATTGAGAAGCCTCTCAATTGGTGCCCATGTGCACGCTAGACACCAGAACCACTACATTAAGCTGCAGTGGTTCTGGGGACTATAGTGTCCCTTTAATGTGAGGTAAATTAGAGATTAGTGCCACGAATAATATACTAGATTGCCTACTTACAACCAGATGAGGATGACGATGGGCTCTAGCTGCCGTCTGGCTCCACTGGTCTGGTGTAGAACAGGCTCTCTGGAGGCGGTTTGTAACTGTGGTCACAAAAATCAATGTTCTGGGAGAACGGGAAGCAGCTCCATTTTTTGGGGGCCCTTTACACAGCTCAAGGTCTGGGTCCCAGGGTCCACCTTCATGTTCCACCAATGAGTTTGTTCACAGGGGTGGAGTGTGTGTGTGGGGGATGTCCTGATGTGTGTAAGGAATGCATTGTGTGAATCTGTGTTTGTATGTGTAAGGGCTGCAAGGTGTGTTTGTGTATGTATGGGATGCAGTGTGTGCGTCTGTAACGGATGCATTGAGTGTGTGTAAGGGGTGCATTGTGTGTTGTTGTGTGTAAGGGATGCATTGCTTGTGTATGTGTGTCTGTGTGTAATGCATTGTGTGTTTTTCTGTGTGCAAGTGGTGCATTGTGTGTGTGTGATGGATGTCAATCTCTCCCCCTGCCCCCCGTCAATTTCCTTCTCCCCCCCTCTCCAATTACCTTCTCCCCCCTCCAATTTCCTTCTTCCCCCCCTCCCTCTCCAATTTCCTTCTCCCCTTCCCTTTCCAATTTCCTTCTTCTCCCCCTCCCCCTCCAATTTCCTTCTCACCCCCTCCTCCAATTTTCTTCTTCTCCCCTCTACAATTTCCTTCTTCTCCCGTTCCCTCTCCAATTTCCTTCTTCTCCCCTCTCAATTTCCTTCTCCACTCCTCCCGATTTCCTTCTTCTCCCCTCCCTCTCCAATTTCCTTCTTCTCCCCCTCCCTCTCCCTCCAATTTCCTTCTTCTCCCCCCTCTCCAATTTCCTTCTTCTCCCCCCTCTCCAATTTCCTTCTTCTCCCCCATCCAAATTCCTTCTTCTCCCCCTCTCTCAAATTTCCTTCTTCTCCCCCTCCCTCTCCAACTTCCTTCTTCTACCCCCTCTCCAATTTCCTTCTTATCCCCCTCCCTCTCATTTCCTTCTCCCCCTCCAACTTCCTTCTTCTCCACCCTCCAATTTCCTTCTTCTCCACCCTCCAATTTCCTTCTTCCCCCC